TCCCCTTATTCTCTCTCTCTCTCTCTCTCTCTCTCTCTCACACACACACACACACACACACACACATTTGGTGTCAACAAACTTGTGTTGCTCAGTGTATTTGTTCTTTTTGTATACAGTACAGGTTAGGGGAAGCATCACACTTAAATGAGAGACCCCAACATAGTGTAGAAAAGCAGCACACATGCTAGTAAACTTCCGGCACAATAAAGCACATTTTAAAGTGTGGATAGCATAAAATCTGTTTGACCGTTCTATGTGGAATTTCTCAGAAACCATCCACTAAAAAAGAGCCGCAACCCACAAATTTTCATATACTCAGGTAAAGAAACAACAACAAAAGATCTTTTACTAAAAAATGTAAACATGCTTAACACACAAACTCTACACCTGTTTGTCTGGAATTTTAAAGAAATAATATTTACTGAGACAACTATGCTATTTCCAGATTTCATGCATGTCCACTTGTTTGAGTTATATCCCTCTTTTCTCCCGTAAACTGAGATGTAAAGTGGCTTACAACTTAATAATAGAAAAAAACTTTATATGTAAAGGGGAGAGAGAGAGAGAGAGAGAATTTAATTGTCAGACACCTTGTATGCAGGCTTGGAAATGCATACAAATAAAGAGAAATTGCCCTCTTGCTGGTCCAATGGTGTGGTTCTATTAGGAGTGGGGGCTCTAAGAGTCAAGTTGGAAATGTAGTTTGTGCAACTCCAGGCCCTCTGCCTGATCAGCTTTGAATCCAGTCTGTTAGAAATAGTTTGCAACCCAGAGTAAACAGAACTTGGAAGCAACAGAAAAAGTCTCCTTAGCAGGTTGTGGTTACCAATTTAGTTCTGACCATTGCTCCAAGGATATGAACCTTGCATAACCTATTTCCCCCTCCTTCATAAGAAGGGAATCCAGACTGGACAGACAGACTTCCCTCTTTCCTACTTGCCAGTTCAAGCAGTCAGTAACTCTCTCATCTACCTTGTGTGATACTGAGTATATATAGACTTTCTTTCTGTGATCTGCTTGTACAGATGTGATTACAGAGCAGCTTCTGGGGGCATGCAATTCCAGTCTCTTAGTGTTAATCATGGTCATGATGACAAGAGGTTCAGAGGCCAAATACTGCCAGCCCGAGTTGGGGCAATCATGTTGCGCCAAATTCCAAGTTCCAATGGCTTTGGGTCACAAGGATTTATAAAGAAGTCAGACCCAGTGTGTCTCAAAGACAAAGAATCTTAATTGAAGATGGGCCACTTCCATTGGGGCCACATCATCCGATGCAACCACATGGTGTATCAGCTGGGGCTTCTTGCCGGTATCTTCAAAGGAGCCACCCTCTTCCATCTGCCACAAATGGCTCATCGCGTTACAGTGATCTAATCTTGAGATTACTTGAGATTAAAAATATATATTTTTAAAAAGCCACCAGAAAAAGTCAGTTAACCACTCTCTTCATACGGAGGATTTTTTTTTTGAGCAACAAAACTTTTTTTCCAATGATCAAATCTTTGGGCGTGCCTGTAGAGATGATGGAGATACCTTTGTTACGTCATTGCGGGTGGGCATGGCTGCAGACTCATTCCTTTTACAAACACAGACATTTATGCACAGCTACAGAAAAAGATACAGTGGAAAGCCAAAAGCATTTGAGTTATTCTTTTATTTTGTTGCTTCTTAGTCCACACAGTTGGTATAAAATCAGAAAAGCAAAGCAAAAATAATTGTATAATAATGTCTGGAGTCTTAGCATCAGAAGGCACCGCTGACACATCTACATACGGCTGCCAGTACATTTCATTGCCAGACGCACATTGGGAAGCACAGAAAAGGATTACAGAGGACCTTGTGGGGGACAGGATTCCTACCAGGGGTGGGCGGGGTGGGGGTGGGCTAGAAGGCTTGCTGACTTCCCTCTTCTTGTCCATGAAGCGGGAGGGCCTTTGGTTATAAATGCTTTATTTAAAAAAATAAGAGTAATAATAATGATGATGATAGCAGCTTTTCTAAGTACAAAAGCAGTTATAGGCAGTATCTATGACAGAGAATTATTTATCATTCCTATCCCATGATTTATCTCAAAATTGTTATCTGAATTTCCAGTGAGTAAAGGTTAAATGGCTTAGCAATATAAGGAATGGTAAGTAGATAGCACCATTTCACAGATTTGGTATTCAATTTCCTAGAGGAATTCAGGAGGAGAGGGAGGGAAGGGAGAGCTTAGAAGGTCTGGAGCTTTGAAACGTTCATTCATTCTTCACCACTTTAGCCTATTCCTAAGGAAAGGGAGGAAACCCCTTTTATGAAGATCATGGTCTCCTTGGGCCACCTCCATCAGGCAGGGCTGGAGTATAAGCTTTAACCTACTTATAGGAATCAACTGGTCATGCATTATTTTTATTTCTCATCCCACTGGGATGCTCCTGTCTTCTAATATAGCTTCAGTGGATGCCTTGCCATCATAAAAACATGCAGAAAGGCACTGGATTAGTTTGCTCAGCCTGAAGAAGTTGAGCTCTAACTGCAAATATTCCCCTCTGAGATAGACTGAGGGTTGTCAAATGATGACAGTTGTACCCTTCCCTTCAAAGCAACTTAGAGGGCAATCAATGGGGACGGCATAGGGAGGTGAGCAGCCTAATTACACAGTTTCAGAATGAGTAGGTGGGAAGACACTTCACGTACCCCACCACATCCTGATCCCAAAAGATCCAGGCACTCAGTTCACCCACCCATACCTTGGTTATCAACTTTACATTCTGGTAGATGATCTTCCCCTTCCTACACAACATTTCTATCTATTATTTGGCTAATATCAGTGCATAATAGGCACACTATAACTATTCTGGGGACCCAACCTGTGGTTCTGGGTTTGCATTTGGTTTGGGATTTGAAGTGGAAAGCTTTGGAGGAGGGATCCATTCGCTTCCACAGCAAGAGAAAGAAAAATTCGGCACCCTAATTATAATGTTACAAGTTAAGAATTCTTAGGCACTTCCTTTAGGCTTTAAACATGGCGGCAGGTCAACAAACAAAAGCAAACAGTACTATGTACATATATGTAAAAAGTGTTATAAATAGGTTTTCTTAAACCATAGATACTATATACATCTTCAATAAACACAGAAACCCTTCTCTCAGTTTGGTTTTGTTCCTTCCTTTCTTGTTGGGTTTTGGGTGTGTGTGTGTGATTGTGTGTTGTTGTTTTTTTGTTAACTTCCTTTTTTTTCCCCCTTCCATTTTTAATCTTATTGATGCCCCCTCTCCTTGTCCCAAGTGCTCTGGTTTCAGTGGCCTCAACTTGATACTTCATTCGCGCTTCCTCAAGATGATGTAGATCACCCCACTAATGATGGCTAGTGGGAAAGCCACCCAGGCCAGGATGTATGTGAAGCCAAAGGAGACATTGTCAGAGGGGAGATGCCAGTCTGTATGTCTCACTGTGAAGATAGCGGCGCCACTCATCACACAAAGGCCTGTGGAGTACAGAAAACAGAGAAAATTAGCATAGATGTGTAAGCAAGCACACACAGAGGGACATCTATCCATGACTATGATAGGGGATCTGGCCAAGATGGAACATTTCTCAAACACTCCTTCACCGACTGCCTCCCAGTCATTCGTGTAGGGCAACTTTAACTTAACTATGATTCATGCAAAGCCAGTGTCCATGTGGGTTCTGGGAGCTGAAGATCTAAACCAGTCATTCTTTCAGGCTCTGGTTTTAAAGACAAGCACTTACGAAATATAAAGACATTAGATCAAAACAACCCCTTCCCACTTCGAAAGGAATAAAGAAGTGGGTAAATTTATGTAAGGGCCAATCCAGTCATCAGTCCTGGTAATCTCAGACTTGCAACTGTATAAAAAAAATAGGTTGCCTCCCAACTGGGCAAAAAAAATAATAAAATCAATAAAATATATATTTTTAAAAAGCCACTTGTCTTCTTTCAACAGAAAATAGCCTCCAATGCCTGACAGAAAAAGTTAGTTAACCACTCTCTTCATACGGAGGCAAGCTTGGATAATTATGTTCCATCTGAGATCCCAGTTTGTCTGGAACCCTGTTTTGTAATGTACTCAGCATAATGCCTCTTTTGAGGCTCATAATCTAACACAAGTCTCTCTACTCTTCCCCCAGCCTGCTGCCTCCTTTGTCCAAAATCCCTGTGTTCAAAATGCAAGCAGGTCAAACCACACCCCCTCTCCTCTTAATATCACCAAGTTCAGCTGTTCCCCCCGCTCTTTTTTTTTGTACTGCTATATCAGCAATAACAGTTCTGAAAGTATTTCCAAAATCCCTGCCTCCATCCAGAGAGAGGGAGAGGGAGCGAGCTAAGCGAGCGAGAAGTGCCCATTGCGAGGGACTGCCAGGATCACACAATGGCTCTTCTATTTCACAGCCCAGAACAAGGCCTTTTCGTTGATCCCAGCGATTCCATAACCTGCTCAATGTGCCACCAGAGGAGCCTGTGTTCCCAAAGCCCGACCGCAGCAGCAATGTGCCTCGGGACCACCTACACCTAACCACAGTGATATTTGAGCTGTTCTTTCTCTGGACACTGCCCTCTTTGTTCCCAGAAAGTGCAGGAGTGGGAATGCCTTCAAGCTCACAAGGTGCTGAGGCAGCTCCCTTCCTCTGGGTCACAGAGGGGACCCGCCCACAGCTCCAGCAAAAAGCCCACGTGTGGCAACCAAGCACTATTGTGTCTTGGTCTGGGGTGGGTTTGGGGGGGAGAGAGAGAGAAGGAGTGCCATGGTCATACCGCAAATCACCTACACGACACAAGAGAGCAATGGATTGTGCATTTAAAAAGAACCACGCAGAAAGCAGAGATACCGGGGCAATTTTAGCTTGGCATTACAGAAAAATCTTAGTAGGCCATTAGGGAGCAAAGGTCACAGGGCTCAATTCCGAGCCCAAAACTTGTGCTAAAATTCAGTTCCTGTGTAACTGAAGAAGATGCAGAGAAACTGGGAGCATCATCCCAAAGAGCAGATTCTTTGCTCTCTCTCTCCCTGTTTGAACGGACTGACCATGTCACCTTGCCACCAGCATCCTGCCCTCAACGTGGTCACTTGGGCCATGGCTTCACACCCCTCTCTGATCTGCTCCTAGTTGGTCTTCCTGCATGGAAGGACACTGGGGGGGGAGGGGGGAGCCCTTTAAACCAGCGAGGCAGGAACCTGAGGCAGGCCCCTGACCCACACTCCGCAAGGGCCCCCGTCTGCCTGCCACTGGCGTGTTTCAAGACGACCAGCTCCCCAGTTGCAACAAGATCAAAGCCTGAGCAACTCAGCCATGCCCTTTTCCTACTTTCCTAAGAAACTTTCGAAAATACAAAAGAGGGGATGTTAATGTTACAAAAAGGTGCCACAGCACTTCAGTCCGGGCAAGACCCATAAGCTGTTTCTCACCTGATTTGAAATCAAACCATCTTACTTTTGTTTTTCCTCCCACTGGAAAAAGCCTCTCACACACACGGCCATGTGTCAGCCACACAGCAATCACCTGGATAAATTATGCTTTAAATGGATTGTTGTACTTTACTGCTTTGAATATGTTTTGGTGTTGCTTATGTTTTTTCATATGGTATTTGTTTGATTCTTTTTGTATTTGTATACTCACTGTTGATAGTGTTAAATAGTGTTTTTTTTTTAATTATGTAAGTCACCTTGGGTCCTTTTAAAGGAGAAAAGTGGGGTAAAAATACCTTAAATAGATAAATAAATGTACAGTCGTGCCTCGCTTTACAACTGCCCCACATTATGACGAAACTGCATTACGACGATCTTTTTGCAATCGTAATTGCGATCACAAAACAATGGTCTAAATGGGTTTTTTTCGCTTTGCGATGATCGGTTCCCTGCTTTGGGAACCGATTCTTCACAAAATGATGATTTTAAAACAGCAGATCGGCAGTTTCAAAATGGTTGCCAGGTAAACAAAATGGCTCCCCACTGTTTTCTGGAACGGATTCCTCGCAAGAGAGGCAGCGAAAATGGCTGCCCTATGGAGGATCTTCGCTGGACGGTGAATTTTGACCCCACTGGAACGCATTGAAGGTGTTTCAATGGGTTTTTTTCCGCTTTATGATGTTTTCGCTTAATGGCGATTTTCCTGGAACGGATTATCGCCGTTAAGCGAGGCACCACTGTAGGCACAAATCCTATTGAAAGCTATTGTAACAGCATCTGCACTTAAGATCTAGTATGTAGCTTCAGAAACCAAGTTACTGGTCTAAAGATAAGTGGCATTCACACAGGCACAAACTGGTCTGATTCTCTACCACCACCACCACCACCCCCTGACGCCCCTCAGAGCATCATGTCTCGTGGGGCAGACAATGTCAACCAGACATTCCAAATGGTATTCCTCCGAGAGGTCCCCACATTTTGCATAATAAATTTATTTTGCAAGTCCAACCTGTTTGTCTATGTGTAGCATCCCACTCTTTCAGAGCAAGTTACAGTGAATTCCTGGAACATCTCTGATCCTGACACAGACCAAATCTCCTTAAGCTATAATAATAAACAAGCCTTGTGTACTCTCAGATTATTAGAATGCATTTGGTTTTAACCGCATATTCCTTCTACTTAAAGAGACCTCATCCCATCCCTCCCCACTGAGCAGAAACAGGACTATTAATTCTCAGAGAGCTACTGTACTCAACATCCTGTTCCTTCTAGACCTGCAGGCAGATGAAACAGCAAAAACTAATATCACGGCTCTTTTTTTTCCGAGCAGCTGGGCTGAGCCAGATATCCAAATACTGCCTGAGGGGCAGGAATGCCTCCAAAAGGCAATGATGGATGGCCTGGAAAGTTACTCTCTCACAGACTCCTTCAGGGATATTGGCTTAATGCCCCGCCCAGCAGAAACAAAAGGTTCCCTTTGCTCACACCAAGATATCTAAACAGATAGAACATGAACAAGGGCTAGATGAGTTCTGAATCTTCACTTATTCCAGCCCTAATATTTTGAAGTATGGATTAATGTCTACAGAAAGTCCTACAAATGCAGCAAGGGAACTGGCATCCAAAGGATGGGAAACAGAGAGGTTGCTAGAGACACAAGGGCTATTCAGAAGCAGCAGTTCCCTCAGACTGCAGCAGATAAGAGCTGTGGAACTGAGAGAGTGAGCGGTGGTTGATGGTCGTCCAGTCCATCTCAAGGGCATGAGCCAGTATTTGGCTGGTGTGGTACATTTCAAGTCCAGAAACACGAGAGAGAGTGCCATGCCACAGTGTATTCTGCTACCCCTTCCAGACCAGCTGGGGGATGAGGAGGCAGTCAGACTGTGCTAGAGGGACAGGCAAGAATGTAAGCCTGATCCTGCAAAGTCCACAAGCCCTTCTTGCTTCCCAGCATCTTACAGTCCTCATTGCCATTTGCCTCAGTTCATCCACTTGGGTCTTTGGAGTAATGCCCTCAGGATTAACTGTTATAGAAATGAAATGTTTACACATTTTTAAAAATATGTATTTTTAAAATGGTTTTTAAACCTGGCCCAACATGTCATGGTCAACCTTGAGCCGGCTATTATTTGGCTAATAAAATGGTTTTTAAACCTGATCAACATGTCATGGTCAACCTTGAGCCGGCTACCTGGGATTCAACCCCAGGTTGTGAGCAGTTTTGACAGCCATACAGCAGTTTAACCACTGCACCATGAGACTCACCAGCCCTGTGAATGTACTCTTGGAATAATGTAAGGAATGCAGTGGCAATGTCTTTTCTATTTCCTTCACACTTCCCTTAAGGGCTCTTGGGGGCGACTTCCCAGAACCAAATAAGAGCCACCTCCATGGCACAGACAGAGGCTACTTCCAATGCTGCTGCAAGGCCTTGCCCTCCTAGACTACTGTACTTTCAAAATATGATGCATGGTATACGATTCAGGAAAGGATTTATTTACTGGGAGGACTGGGAAGCTTGGGGCCCTCCAGATCTTCTTAGGGAGTGGCCTATAGTCTAAAGCAGGGACACAAGTGGTGGGGTGCATCTTTCCACAAACTATCAATCTCATTGGCTCTTCTGGTGGGCCACATGGGGTTTTCAATCCAATCACACCTGGAGAACTTATGCTGGTTTACAGCATATACACATCACTGAAAAACAGTTTGCACCATCTCAGGCTCACATGTAGCACTCAGGTGGCTGCTACAGTGCATATTTCCTCTACCTCACTGGAGGCTGGAGGGCTCCGGTTAGGGCCTGACCCTACCCACCACCTGGATAACTCTCAGAACAGTGAAACTACACTGTATTGGCTTTAGAGAGCATCATGCTTCCTATATGAGCAGTGCCTGAGAGAACAATGATGACGAAATACATTCTGTATGGAAATGGTTGCTCACAAAATAAAACCATGAACTTCCAGAAAAAGGATGAGGATGACAGAAACAAGTTTAGCAAATGGAGCTGCAGAAATTTCCTATTCAGCCCACAAGCTTTCCCCCACCCCACCCCAACATCCTTTAATCTCTGATCAGAGATATTCAAATTTTAGATGTACTGCAGAGGATTGAACTTTGTAGGCAGAAAGACGCAGTGTGGGGCTTTGCAGGCAGTAAAGCTATTATACCCAGACTTTGTTCCAGATAGGCATGCTTTGTGTTGAGCTTGGTTTCCAATGCCTAGTGGGGGGAAATGTCTCAATTGGTATATACCTGGCTCTGCTCACTTTGCTTGGGCTCTGCCCCATGCCTTTGGGCTTGTCTACTGGTGGAATATACCAATTTTACAAAAAAAAAGTGTTGTGTTCCTCCATCTCAAACCTGCCCCTATCAAAGCAGCAGGCTGTGTGGTTCTACTGTTGTCCTTTCTTTCCATGATTAGTCAGCTTTGCTCTAGCTTGGGAAGCTTTCTTTCTCCCTTTTTTTTCCTTTTTCTTTTTGCAGTATTCCCAGAAGCACATTACCAGCCCCCTTCCACTTACCAGCAAGGACCTGAAAGAAGCCAGTAAGGTAAAAACGTCCACCCTTGGTGAGAGTGAAGAGCTGGCAGAAGAACAGGAACAGAGACATCACACTGAAGACGATGGAAAGAACCATCAGAGCCTGGACAGACTGCAGCCATTCTGGAAAGAGAAAAAGAACGCAAAAGTCAATTAAGACAAATCATGCCCAGGAATTGCTATTTCTACAAGCAGATCTATAAACAGGGCTCCAGGTTGATTTCCAACTGCTCCAGCTATTGACAACATGAGCTAAAAAAAATAGCCCACAATCAGAAAGGATTAGCGAAAAGCAGAACAAAGGAGTGGGGAAATCTCTGGTCCTAGGGCTGAATCTGTACCTCCAGGGGTTCAAATCCTGCCTTCTAGATTTCCCAGACTGTCAGGTCCCTTTCCCTATAACACCACTGCTAGATGGTTTCCTGACTTCTGTAGATTCCCCCGACCCCATTCTAAGGGGCTGAAAATGCTTCTGCCAAGGCTTACGTCACTAACAGTAAGAGCTTAAAGGTAAAACATGCTGGCATTTGAGTTCTGCTCTTTTGCTGTTGGCCCCACCTGTCCCTGGAACGCAGCCAAGAACTCCTCGGAAGCAGAATTCAGCCCTCGAGTTGACAGAGGCTGACGTCTTTGCCCTACATGATCCACTATCCACCTGTTGTTTGGTGTGAAAATTACAGGCGATCTCTGCAGCCACAGGAAGCTCCACATTGAAAAACGACCATAGCGGTTATCCATGCACACATTCCTCATAGAGCTTGGGAAAGATACTTTTTTGGAAGCCATTTTAAACAAATACAGTAGATAGGCCAGCTTGGGGATTCTGTGAGCTGTAGTCCAAAAACAACTTTTGCGAGTTTTGGTTCCTCTCCAGTGAAGTCACCAGGCATTTCTAGAGATCGCTACGATGGAAGGCCTCTTGGAAATTCAGCCTCGGAGCTTCAAGCAGGGTTGTAACTAGCCATTTTGGCACTTGGGGCAAGTGGCACCCTCCCTCACGCCCTCCACGCTGAGACAATAAGGGAGGAAAATGTTGTGTCTCCACTTCAAAAGAATATGTTTTTGAAGAAGAAGGGTGAAAGTGTTGTGGGCCAGTTTGGACCAGGAAGTGTTGTCATCTACTCACCAGTAGATTCACTTCAAGGATTTGGCACCCTCTACATTTTATGTCTTGGGGAAAGCCTCATTTGCTCCACCTTAATTACTGCCCTGCCTAAAATCCTACAGAAAGTGCAACCAAAAAACCGCTGCTTATTGGTTCAGTATCCTCAGAGAAGCTGAAGGGAGAGGAAATTCAGAACACACGCACACGTACGAAAGTTACTCTGGAATGTGCTGCCACAGGCGGTAGCAAGCAGCTTGAAAACGGGATTGGTCAAATTTGTAGGCAATTATATTTCCAGGGTTTACTAGCTAGTACTATTTCCAGTGTCTGTGCTTATAATACCTATTGCTGTGGAACACCAGTGGGATTGGTAGAGCCATAAGTAGAAATCGTGGCACCCAGGGTGAATAGTACTATCTCCCACAGACTCAGAAAAAAGGAGCAGAATATGGTGTCTTCTCTGCTCCAGAGAGAGAGAGAGAGAGAGAGATTGAACTATGCTTTCCAAAAAAGGAAAGCAAATAGGGGTGGGAGGTGCTACTATTTATTTTCCTAACACCCACCACTCAATTCATCTTTAGAATTTGATGCCCTCCATATTTTTGTGCCCCAGGACAAAGTTCCAGTGGCCCACCCTAATTGTAGCTCTGGGGAAGGGGCTACAGTAGTCATGCCCTTCCTCTGCACTTCCTGTGGACCTCTGGTTGTTGGCCACCATGGGACGAGAAGGCTAGGGAGGCCATGTCTGTTTGCTCCCACATAGCTCTTCTTAAGTTATCCCAGGACCTAATTTTAAAAATCAGCTACTAATTGTAGTACCCCTGCTGTTCTTGATAAATCTGCGTGTTAGACCTGGAAATGGTGACAGCTCATGTCCAAATGAAGGAAACTAGGTGGCTGAGTGAAAAGTACAGCTCTGGTATTAGTGGGCCTGCATTCAGGTGCTTTGGTTGAGGCATTTGAGTGTGGCGCATTCTATACTACCTTCTGAATTTCACGATGGCGGTCAATCAGTCACTCAGTCCCTCCATCTTTAAATTCCTATAGTCGCTCAATGTCCAGTATATCCAGGGCACTTCCCTTCTTATCAAAACACTTGCAAGTGTAGGTGCTCAACAAGTCCCATTCATTCAATGGGTGTATTCTGGTTAGGAGAACATTCAGAGGGAGGGAAAACCCAGAATCGGAACGCATAGTTTTACTTAAGATTCAAAACAGCTACTTTGAAAGTGGTTTTGTAATAATACTTCGGCCATTTAGATGCCTCGGTGATTTAGATAGCTGGCTGCGGAGCCAGAGGTTTGGAGTTCGATTCCCCACCGTGCCTCCTTGACAGGGGCTGGACCCTATGATCCATAGGGTCCCTTTCCTGCTCCGCAGTTCTAAGATTATCATTGTTGTTATTATTTAATCCCAATTCCTCTCAAATTACACTTGGGAAATAATGCTAACTGGAGTTGTGATATTTTACAGAAGTCATTTCCCACAATTGCTACATACAATCTGACTATTCCAAATTGCAGACAGAATACTGTATTTGGCAGTAGTCGTTCACCATAATTGATCAGGCTGAGTCACAGAAGTATTACTCTGATAAATAAATAATGTTGTTTTAAAGTGTGTAAATTGCTTTAAGCTGATTTCATTGATTGTATCCTGCAGATCTGGGGAAAATATAGTGGATTTGAAATACTTACATCAATAAAATAAAATAAGGTCGCAATGACATCTACTTGAATTCAGTGAGGGTTATTTGGTTTCAGTGAGGCACTTACAGCCCATGATTTCAGCTCCTGGTTAGGTATGCCAGCAAATATTTTACAAAAATATCTGGAACAATATTTTACCAAAAGCCAAGGACCAGCTGTCATTCCAGTATTCTGACTAAGTCTCAACTCCCACTTACACATCCTTGCATTTCTGGATGACCTTCATAAGCACAGATTGTCTATTACAAGAGTACAGTTTACACTGAAATGAACGGCTGTGGATATAAAACATCTCAAATAACCAACCATAATTCATCTTCATTCTTCCATTTTTTTATTTTAAACCAAAGAAATAGGCAATAATTCTTCATGCATTGAAGAGGATTTCACAGATAAGAGCTATATGTGAGACCTCTGACATGTAAAATTATTTCTCGATGTCTTGTCCCACAAGGCATTTAAAAAAAGACTAGTGTTGTCTCTTCCATATATTCAGAAGGCTTGATTTCCCTCAGTGCATGATGGAATCTCAGGCCTCCCAATGCACTTCCTTTTTATTGAACAGAAGACGTTTAGAAGCCTCATGGTGCAGTGGTTAAACCGCTGTACTGCAGCCCAAACTGTGCACACGACCCGGGGTTCAATTCCAGGTAGCCGGCTCAAGGTTGACTCAGCCTTCCATCCTTCTGAGGTTGGTAAAATGAGTACCCAGCTCTCGGGCAGGGGTGGTGGTGTAGCCTGCTTAATTAACTTGTAAACCGCCCCAAGGGTGCTTGAAGTGCTATGGGGCAGTATATAAGCTGCACAGTTTTTAAAACTCATTTCCTAGATCTGGGAATAGGAGTTGGAGAAAAGGTCCCCCCCCCATATTAGGATAAAAGAGGGTTAACAGGCATTAGTTATGGAAGGTGGAAGTTCCTTTGCCCTGATGCAATTCCCACATGAGACAGGGTGGGCTGTGGATGAGTGACGCAGCCTTGTGGATGGGGCAGGTGGCATAGGGCATCCCCATTCATCCAGCAGGCAGTGGCAGGGTGCCAGCATCAGGCTAAATGCCCCTGAGATCTGACCCACAAGGTTGCAAGAAAACTCCACAGCAGAGAAGCTAAGCAAAACCAGGATTTTCTATTGCTTTACCACACAGAACAACCAGCCTTTTTTTTTTCCAACAGCTTGAACAGAAGCTAGTATTTCTGAGAGAGCTATTTCGTCTCCTGGGAGATCAATGCAACGCACATAAAGTTTTTTTAATACCTCCTTATCTCTGGGAGCTCCTAGGTTAAAAGAGAGCAAAAGATACACTATGCACATTCCTCCAGGCCCTTCAAATGTAACCCCAGGCAGACCAGACCAGTTAAAGTGTCACTAATGCATAATCCTCCAGAATGCAGCCCCCCAGGGCAACAATAATGCTGCCGAAGGACTTCACAGGTGACATCACTGAGTTTAAGAGTGTGCGCTCATTTTGGCTTATCTGGTAATGGTGAACATAAAGAGGGGGGCACTCCATTGCTTAGCATGTGACCACACCTGTTGTATGTGCAAAAAGCCTTGATTTCCATTCTTCGCCCTTTCCTTCAGATGTTTCAAAGATCAGCTCTCAGGATTCCTGACTATTGCTATATGGCCTGGGGCTGATAGAAGTTGAAGTCCAAAACATCAGCCAAGCAACAGATTAGAGAAAGCTGCCTAGTAAACCCAGTAAAACACATGATCTCAGATAGTAGGGCTTAGGAGAAAATTCTACTGGAGACCTCAAAAAAAAAAAGACCTAGGACCAAGCATACTGTTCTAGGTAGACCATTTGTCTGGCCTAATTCAATATAATGAAATTTCATGCAAGGAAACATGGGGAGAAAAGAGGCAAAAGAAAGGAGAATTGGTATTTGGAGAAACCATATCTAGGTTAATAAGTATTATAATTTCACCCCAACTAAGAAACAGCTCATTAAACACTCTGGGGTCTAGCATGTTTTTATTGGAAGGCAGAGGTCCACCAATGCAAGACAAGTGAAGCACAACATCTGGGAGAAATTACTTCTATGGAGTACAACTCCCAGAACCTCTGGCCAACATGATCACCACCCAGCATGCTAAGAGTTACAGTTCAAAACAGTAACTTTTCCATTCTCTGCAATTACCCACTGCACATCATTACCAGCTGCAGCAACCTTCTGGTCTCTGTAAATCTACACAGACAAGTACAAACTTATTGTTACTACAGAATAGATATTCCTGCACAGAATTCTAAAACTGGACAGGGGACCTAATCAAAAGCAACTAACCTAACGTTTAGGGAGAAGAATTGC